GGAATTTTTACTTTCAGCACTAAAATGTCCGCATTGTACTAATTTTGAAGCAGTAGTGCTCAGATTCTGCCTGATATTACTTCTTGCACAATACTAAAAAGATAAAACTTCAAGAGTACAAGAAATGTTCCGAATATTCCTTTTTTTAAACGAGTGGAAGGTCGAATATTCAATTTACTTTAAATTTTTGGGGCTACAAAACTTGACGTTTGGTTTTTGGATTATAATAGTATTCTTCCTTTTCGGGATGAAATGCCGTAAAGCAATGTAATTGCTTCTTTGGAAAGGACATTAAAATGTCGCAACAGTTGTACGTTGCTGTTCGCTCATTTGATCAGAATTGATAAAAAATAACTGTCTCCCGTGGGAACTTTGCACACTCGGATATTAACCGCAGTAGAAACGCACAATTAGGCCTACCCATAACAATCCGTTCCCTGCTCATAACACCCTCGAGAAAAGGGGGGTTACCTCCCGCACGAAAATGTTGTATTAAATTACCGTAAGTGGCAAAATTATCTCCGGTTAGATGCGATGGTGGCTCCCCCTGGCCACGGTTGTCCTCCAATGACTGGCGAAACGTGCAGACTGCCGCGTCGGCATCGCGATTCCAAGTTTTGTTTTTTCATGGTAGCCCGCAATAAGACTTCAGGGAAATCGTTTGGAGTCAAAATTACAGCATCGTTGCAGACAGATTGTCCGACGCTGTCCAATAATCTTTTTCATCGTTCTTTTTCTCTCTCTGGCCTCTTCAGTAAGGACCATCATTACTTTTCTCAACAATAGCGCGCTGGGAAGACTAATGCATTATTATTTCCCGAAGTTCGTTCTTGCGTCCACCCAATTCGCCAGCTGCGTCCTCCTGAGCCCTGTTAAGTCCACAATGACCTTTTCTCGTAGTTTCTGCTCTAAGCCACCCAGGTCATAATACGATTATAGCAACTTCATCTGGCAACTAAATCCAAGCCCGCTCAAATTGCCCTCGGTAAAACGAAAGTTACCAATGATCTTTTGAGAATGAACTTTAAGCCACACAAGTTGTCATGAATGCCATTCAGCTTGACAACTGAATTACGAATTAGAAATCATACTAGGCATTTGAAATGACAGTAGAACAGCCAGTGGCTATTCGCGTTAAAGCTTCATGCATTTGAGTGCACGATTTTTCAACGGGATTTCGACGCAGTGGTTTAAATCTTTCAACTGCATTGATGCCCTTTAGTTGTCCATGTTAGTCCCTGCGAAATCCCCCAACTAAAGGAGATGGACATGTAAAATGACTGCAAAAGAACTTTACGCCAATTTAAAGATTGGTGGACAATGTCACGATGCACCACTCAGATTGTGCCTCAAATCAAAACATCTTCTGCGATGAATTGTTTACTGTAGTTCAATGCCTTTCGTAAACTGAACGCTGACTGTTTTCCTTCGTGTGAAAAGAAGTATATACTGTCAAGAAAAACTAATTGTAATAATTGATAGATTTGAGTTTGCCCAAAGGAATATTGACTTTAGGGGTGGAATTACTGTATAAATCCATGATCCAGAAGGTATCAGAATGTGCAAGAAAGCCCGTTGTGTCATAATAGGGGATTGTGCTAAGTCATTTCCGGACTGGAACGTGCCGAGTTGCCGTGTCCTCTTCCCGGAAGAAGGTAGCTTTGCCTTGGAGGAATAAATTATGGGCAGCCGGATTTGTCTTTCGTCACATGCCGTCCAAAGTAACTAAAAGTACCCCCAAGATTGTTGCCCTGCTTCCCCCAGGACAGGAATTTTAAAAAAAAAAAACGGGGTTTGTGTGGAGCGCGTGCTACTGTTGACAAAAGGAGGATGATTGGATCTTGCGGAGCCCCGGAGCTCCGGATCATCGGCGGGTTCTAACCGCTCTCTGGGAAGGGTAACGAGAGCGAGGGCCGGGACTAGGTCGCCCTCGGCCCGGAGCGCATCCTGATCGCGATTTCCCTTTGTGTCCGAGTGGGCACCCGGGACATGCATATCGAAACTGTAACGAGAATTGGCGAGAGTTTTGCCAAAGGGAATGAAAGTGAAAAATATATATAAATATACATATACCGATGGGGGTTTGATACCGTTGCTTCGCAAATTAAAATAGAAATGAGTGACAAGTATTGTTTTCTGCATTTTGGGGAAGATTTCTGCCCGCTGATTAAACCGTGTCCATTTTTTAATCTTTTATATACTTGATTTGCGGGTCGAATCATGATCCAGCAGAAGTTATAGTTTAAACTGCCCTTCGCTGTTTATTGTCTAGCCTGAAATCAACGAACATCACTGTTTCGTTTAATTCGACAGCTAGGGTAACTGGGTAATCATAACTGCCGAATGTATTATTGCTTTCATGGATGACTTTTAAAAGCACTTTTCCATGTTTCATATCGTAGATAGTCCATGGGCTGACACAATATGAAATGCCAAGCCTTGGTAATTGGAAGAGGAAGACCGGATTTTAGTTCATATTTCTATTGGATGTGTTCCTTCTCCATTGCTGTCTCTTCAACCTTTCAAGATCGAAGCGTAGTTTGCCAGTGTATTGACCCACAATCCACACCTTTGATGACATGCACTTCATAACGTCCTACTCTCCGTTGGTTAATATTTCCAAATAGATCACTTGGGAGACATTTTGTCGTAAATTTTTCAACATCAGGGAGACATCGGTCATTGAAATGTCTCCCTAATGCTCCAACTACCAAAAGGAGGAAAATTTTTACAGTCCACATTTTGAGAGATGATAGATTAGGGTCTGAAAGGAAAACATGCAAGGTTTCTTTAAGATCGGATTAGGGAATATTGAATTATGGGACGGTAAAGTATGAAAACTTTTGTGCACGTTCCTATGGGAATGTCTCTCAAGTGACCCATTTTCGGTAATAATAAGGATGGCTAATTGTGCGATGTGTATTCATAATTATATTTCAAGTCTGCCTTAGATACGCATATACGAAAGGTAATATGTTGTGCTTTTTGCGTGTTGCATTATTTTGCTCAGTATAGTGGCAGGAAATTCGACTCCTGTTTATACCACTTCATTCCAGTTACAAAATAGCCAACTTTTAAGTCTATACCTAAAAATTCATTTCACACGCAAGGTAACGATTGAACCTGAAACCTATTTATGTAATAAAACCCTTTCCGTCATCTGCTCCACTTGAAAAAGTTGTGATCGTTCTTTTGTCGGCATTGTGATGATACTGACAGTATACCCGTTGGCCATTCGATTCCAAGCGGACAGTGCGCCAATCACGCCAGAGTGAAACACGTAGTCGAAGATGACTTCTGACAGTCCAATAAAGCGAGCTGTGGTTGCTGCGGGTCGCAGATGGGAAACCCGATCGTATTACGCGCCCAAATATCCGACGGCTACCAGTTGTGTGCATTTTGTAATCTATCCTTACGATTACCCGTGGACCTTTTAATGGCAAGTGGACAGGTATCGGAAGATTACTTTTGAGAAATGAAACGTCCGAATTTTTCACTTCGAGTTTTTTTTTTAAAATTTTGTGTCCGTATCGCCACCACGACTCCTTGTTACTATTTTCAGTAAGGGGCCTATGAAGTGTTGATTATCTCTTGTTTTCTTCTTCTTTTGTCAAAGCATGTTCATGTCAATGATTATTCAGTTCACGTCAGATATTTTGTTGCCATGTAGGGTTTCACTTTGAAGTCAAATAAGTAGAAAATCGGCAAAATACGTGGCACTGAAGCAAGAGGGATATCGTTGTTTGCCAGTCAGTGGCAGTACTTGTATGGACCTACTCGATTCTTCGTAGACAGTTAGCGAAGTTATACATGATCCAACTTCGCCTCCCATCTGCATGAGAGGTTTATCTCTATTGTGATAATGGTCTCTACATAGTTGAGTATCGTCAGACGGTGTGGGCGATGGTGTGTACAGCTTTTCATGACGACATCAAAACTAGGCCGAAATTGCAATCAAGTTTTTGAATACAAACCTTCATAATGCACCTTCGTGTCTTAGTTAACCTTTTGTTTAACTTTTGGTTTCATGATTTAAAGGGTATTTTACAGCGTCTTAGGGTTTTTATGCTAATGAATATTCCAATATTCATGAGCAAAACTGTGATGTCATCTCCGGAAAAAGCCTCAATGTTACATTGGTTTGTAAACAAAAGGTCCTGCATTTCTGTTCTTTTCTTATTCATTGTTGTTTATGTGCATAGCAGTAAAAGAACATTAATCCGTCTGTTAGAATGCTTTCAGTCAGTACATTTTGGGTTCACCATTTGAACAGAAACACAATGCACTGAACCATGTCTTCCCTAGATGACTTCACAGCAACAGCGCCCTCAGTTGTCCGGGAAAGCATGGATAATTCTAATTGTGATTAAAAGCATGCACTTTTCAATACAGATAACCAAATAAGGGAGTAAAAGAGTTTTCATACACTGGAAAAGAATATCAAGTTGAAGAAAAATTGTGTCTGACAAAAATTCATTGCGGCTACAGAACTTAATGGGCTCCATGCAGAGTACACGTTTCAGACACTTGCGTGTGATATTAAGTATGGACGACTTATTTTTCTTTTCATTTGGCTGCGAACAAACTTGTATTGTCTTCTTCAAGTCGCCAAGTACTCTCGTCAATGCGACCACGCGTCTTTTATATCTCCCTCTGTGTCACCGCTTTGATACTTTTACGGAAACCGCGTACACACGTAACGTGGTTCTCACATTAGTTTTCATATTCCAAACACTTCTAATTCCATGACTTTGCCGTAGCATCTTTATTCTGCTGGTACCTATATAGCAACGCCAGTCGCTTTCAAAATCCCACAATGGTCACAGTGCATTAAAAGGTCTGTGACATAAACCACTGCGCATAAGATCGTCTGTCTCTGCTATACTGTAGTGATTACACCAGATGTCTTCCTTGAGGCTACACAAAGTTGGTGCAAAAGTAGATCATACTATACAACAGAACGAATGACTCTCACAAACCTTCTTCCCGGCACCTAATAGCCCTCTTCCTGGTAACGGACGCAAGGCTGCGCTTCAAGGACGAGACGACGTCCTGCGAGAACGAGGCTGACTTTGAGTGCGAGCCCGGCGTCTGCATCAACGCCACCCTCAAGTGTAACTCAGCCTACGACTGCGAGTCCTTGGCGGACGAGTCAGTCCTGCTGTGTGGTGAGAACATAGTGATCTCATTTCAAGGAGCCACAGGGAAAAAAAGTTCGGCCAAAACAGGTTTTCATGAACAGCTCATATGTGGAATTTTGCATTTTATTCATAATTCATTATTCGAATGTTTTAACGGTGGTTTCAAGCACTTGAACAAAAGTGCCCTCTTGTGGTAATGCTGCAGGTTTCCATTTCCATCCCTTGTCTCTGTCATTGTTTGCAAGGCGATAATCCCCTAATTGTTTCGTGAAACGAACCACCGACAATTTCAATCCAAGTCCAAGAGTAAATCAGGGTGGAATTGGCACAGTACTTTGCAGGTGTAAGGTTCACATACCGCCCACAGTTAGTTTTGTTATCGTATTTCTTTTGTTTCAATTTTGCGGGGAGAAGGATGCCCGTCGGGTGAGTTTAGGTGCCAGAATTCCTGTATCCCGCTTCAGCAGCGTTGTGACGGGGAGTGCAACTGTGCTGTGAACTGTGCCGACGAAGAGAATTGTAGTAAGATCTTGACTTCTTGGCTTCCTTTTTTGCTTCCTTCGCTTGCTTGGGGGTGTTTGTTTGCTTATTGGAGGTGTTTGTCTGTCTGCTGATGCGTTTGTTTGATTTTCGTTGGTTGGAATATTTGGTTGTTGGGTTACTGGTTTTATGCATGTTTGTTTGCTTGTTTGTTGTTTTTGTTTGTTGTAGTTGATATAATATGAGTAGGAGGCATTCAAGGTTCGCTTATCGGTTCTTCCTTCTTTGCCTGACCCACCTCCCAAGGCTCCCGTTCGACTCCTGTTTGGGCTGCTGTTTTAGACTTGCGAGTTATCCGTCCCTTTCTGCCTCATAATATGACTGCACTAGGAACCTTTAGCGTGACTGTTTTTCGCCTCCCATTTCTTGAAATGGAATTTCATTCCGTCTCGTCATATCCGTCAATGGTATACTGGTTCTGCACCAGAACCATCTAAATACTCACTGTTTCAAACCGTTGCTGTGACAATAGTTTGCAGATTTGGACGCCGTGTGCAGCCAGCAGATGCTGAACAATCATACTGGCTTTGGCTAGTATTTAAGCCGACAAAAAGTAGTAATTGCATATGGATAGGGGAAAATCGTAAGGAAAGTGAGGAACAGATTCTTTTGCGTTTCTATTTTTGTACACAGACAGCTTCCATTGCCTACCTGGTTTCCAGAAATGCAAGAATGGTCTGTGCCATCCAACCTATGTGTGGTGCGACTTCTACAATGACTGCGGGGACATGTCTGATGAGGCTAACTGCGGTACGTATGAAACCTCACCATGGGATCAGAGTCCCCCAAAACGGACATTTTCATGTCGTTTCAATTCCATGTCTCTCGTCCCATTGGACGCAACAGTGTTGCTGCTACTATAGAGTACTGACATCGGTCTTCATTGTGAAAACTGGATAGGACTTCGTGCATTGTTTGTGCACAAAATGCGCGACCCACAAAATGGCGGCGTGCAGCGTTTCAGAAGGATAAATGTGGCTCTGAATTTACTTTAATTTGGAGAGTGGAGTTGGAAATGAAGGAGACGAAGTGCTCCCCAAGGAAAACAAAATTAATGGACCATAATGATTTCACTTTTTTCATCCCTTCCCTGAAGTTGATTGTAACGCACCATTTCATTTTCATTTCATTTTGTATAAATTTGTTGAAAACTTGGAAATCAAAAATTAAATAGAAAATATCGCCGAAAAATCTGCCAAAGTGATAACCTCCCCGAGTACAGTATCGTGGCATATAACAGGAATGATTATTCCTTGTTCACACAAGTGACTGGGTGAACAAAAACGGAACTCAAGACAAAGTAATCATAAACTTATTTTGTCAAATAATACTTCCAACTATCATAAAAGGAATACAAGCAAAGTCCAATTTATATATATTTCTCTGTGCCTATTTCTCTCAAAACACTTTATAATAATGCAGTATAACTTATTGTGAGGGGAATTGTTTTTATGAGCGCATAATGAGCGCGGCTCATAGTCGAACGGCGAAACCAATTCCTGTTGCTGTCTTCATCACAGAAACTTTCAGATTAATGTGCCTTTCATTTGCTGAAACCTTACATTTAAAATGTGCCATGAAATTTTAATATTTAAAAGCTTTTACAAATCGGACAAAGGTACATTTATTTCTCAACATACATGTATCTTTCTTACTGAAGCAAAGGAATAACTCATTTAAGCCCTGTGTTGAATGTTGAATTTGAACTACTGTGTTTAATTCCAAGGAAATAATGTCGGCTCAGCCCCTCAGATGTTCAGATTAACGAACCTTTTCTTCGGTTACGGACTAATGAACCCCAGTAATATGGGAAACTTGTGTGTTCAGACTATCGAACTCCAAATAAATCAACTTTTCGGACTATCTAATCATAAGAGGGGAGCTAATTAGTGGGTTCGAATAAGGTGTCCCAGGCGGGAGTTTGATGGCGTCATAAAACGAGACATTAGGCTTAGGAATATTTACGAGATGGTTTCAGGACCGTGCAGCCGTCGAAGTCTTATATTCCTGAGCGACTACCTCCCTCAAAAAATTTTTTAGCTGCATGTTGTTTGATTCAATAAGTGTGAGTTCTGAAGTTACAATAAGACATGTCTTAAAGAAACAAGCTTTTAAAAGCACGACTTCCTTGTGAAAGTACATTCCTTTTACCGACTCAAATTCCCATCCCTCTCCGGGCAATTCACTGTTCCACGCACCGTAACCATCATCTATTTTAACAACATCAGGAACACGTTGAAGTTTTGCCCCAATGTTTTCAAATTGAAAGATGAAAAACTCCGAAAGATAAAACAATACATGCGCCCAGGAGGCGTCAAAGCTTCTCCATGTGGAAAATGACGTGTTCGCGCTCTGGGGACTTAGGGCCTAATACAATAGCCCCTTGGGCTGCATCCAAATCTGCTATGTCTGGAGCTAGGTCTAGATCTTTACCCATTGAAAAGACGTGGGGACGTGCTATCCATTGAGTTAGCCGTAGTTCTAGAACTAAGCCCGTTTTGGACATGTCCCTTCTGTTTTCCAGACTGCTATATAACGTCATCGACATGAGCCGCTCTAGATACCTTTTATTTTCAAATCTCGGCTTTGTTACCTCATCGCTTTCATTCCGAGCATCGCGCATCGGTTTCACGTTAGACAGTTTGAAATTTCTACATACAGTGGAAAAGTTGAAGCGGCATTTTGACCCTGATTAGGGAACCAAAACTCATGAACCCAAAACTGATTGTGCAAAACTTCCTCATTATTTTTTGTTCCAATCGACGTCAATTCATTCTCTAAACTTTTCTTCGTTCCAGAAAGGCCTGACTGTTGGTTTACGGAGTATCAATGTGACAACAAGCAGTGCATCAATTCTTTTTTCGTGTGTGACGGCATAGAGGACTGTGCAGATGGTTCTGATGAGGGGAACTCTACTTGCTCCGAAGGTAGGTAAACCAGTCGGATATAAGTATTTCAAATAGGCAAGATCACTGGAGAGCACAGCCCGCGTTTGGAGTTAGCGTATCCGCTCCGAGCGGAACAAAAGAGGGCGTATTTTTTGGTATTCGCCGCATAGGTTGGCGTTTATAAGGGAGATCAATGGCGTGTTTGACGCGGAACACGCTGAATACCAGTAACGAATTTATTCCTCAATATATGGTCTTTGCGTATACCTACCTTCATAGAGGAAGGACACAGAAGGAGTTTGAACTGCCCAGGCTGTATTACATTTAGCCAATTACCGCTTGCTGGCGTACCTGGTATGTCCGTAGCCAGAGCGCAGCGAACGCTTGCTACGCACCATACTGTTTCACAACCACAGAACCGCTGCGTGTACCCTATGATTGCCCGCGCAAGGTGTCGATGGTAATCTGCATCCTTAAAACTTACTTCGTGTACTGAGGTATAGGAAATTGAATATTCATGCCTTTGTTGGTGCTTTGTATGATCTCATGACAACATCAAATTTAATGCTTGCGCAGTTGCTTGCATTACACTGTGTGCCCTAAATCTATATGTGCAGTCATTGCCCTTAATGAGCTCTTTCTTCTGGAGTTATTTTGTGAATAAATAGCCCGGTAGTTTACAAGATTTTGTGTTTTGTTTGAGTCGTTTTTATTTTGGTACTACTTGTACAAAAGCATATTTTATGAGATTTCACCATCACTCCCTGTGATGCAATAGCGCATTTTGTTCCTAATGAACCATGCTTTCCAGTAGTAGTAAACGTTTTGTTGGCCAGTCTTAGCCAAATTCGTACCAAATCTTTGAACACTGATGCACTGGACGGAGGAAAATAAAATTACAAACTTAGCATGGATAATGGAACAGTGTATCAAATTTGACAAGTTTATTGACGGTGGCAAAGTAGTCTAATATCAGGGATTTTTCTTTATGTATCTCCTGGTCACAGTGATAATTTGTATTGAATTGCAAGCAAAAACAATATATACTTATTGCTAGGATATTACTGGCCCCGCTTGTCCGGCTGTAATCAAGCATTTCTTGAATGTGTCCCATTATTCGTCTGACTCAGCAGCGACCATCATCTGACACTTTGAAGTGCCTGAGTTGCAACTCCTATGTCCTTCCTCCATGGCACAACGCGTGCACGAACCCGCTTGGAAAACTTACTACCATCCTCTTTTGCCGCCTTGGGGTGCACTTGAACTCGGGGTGTATATGGCCACGCCCAATACAACATCCCAATATGCTGATGACACAGTACTCTTTTTAGATGGTACAGAGAGATCTATGTATAACGCGTTCGGTATTTTGGACTGCTTTGCAAGTATGTCAGGGTTTGCGAGTTATTGTCGATAAAACTGGTGTTGTTTGGATAGGTCCAAAGAAACGCTCCTCGGACAGATTGTTTAATTGAGGATAAAAGTCCATTGGATAGAGCCAAATGACACTCTTTCAAAATATTAGGTATTACTTTCTCCGACAATCTGAAGTCCAAGGTGTTGATTTATTAAAACTCTGTCAATTTAACATTGAAAAATTAATAGCTCCGTGGTCCAAACGGAACATTACAGTCCTTGGATGAGTGACTGTAGTGAAATCACTTCTCACGTCTAAACTTTATGCTCACTTGATTCTTACCTAACCGGATCCTCCAGTGGATACTGTAATAGAGTTGTTTTTTTCAACTGTTTTTTTTTAACTTCATCTGGAAAGGACAAGATCATTTTCAAGAAGTCAAATGATTCAATACTATAAAGAGGGTAGTTTACAAATGGTCGACGTTAGGGCCTACATGGATGCTCTGAAAATTACATGGTTACGTCGACTCTAAGGTCGAGTTTGGGCGGCCTGTTTTTGACACAGGTTTCGTGTTCTCGGGCTCGAACGGCAGGAACACGACTCAAGAACACTGTTCTCGGAACAGGATCACACACCACCTCTTTGTCAGGGTTTTACAGGAACACATGGAAAAACTAGTGAGATTTTGATTTTTGAACAGCTGCGAAAAGTAGAGAGATGGCTTCCAAAGCCATAGACAATAAGAAGTTTTGCAAAATTAACATCAATCATTTTCCGTAACACAGAAATGAATGTTCCTGTTTATATAGAAAAGAATTCAGCCCATCCAAACATTAACTCTCGAATAATGTAGCCTGCATGGACGCCGCCATGTTGCATGTTGCTTGTCGCTAACTACCAGTGATAACCGGTTGTTTGTTCCCTGCATTCGAGCGGCCGACCCACGAACAAAAAATCGAGCTGTTCTTGAACATACGGGAACATGCCGCCCGAACTCGGCCTTAGTGTCAGAATGTTTGGGATGTATATTTCTGTGCCGAGGAGTACTTGATATTAACCATTTTATTGTTTATAGACGGTGGCTCAATTGATTTATTTTCTTCTAGAAAAACTCTGTTTTGGGGCAATCGATTTTGGGTGGACGTTTTAACCTGTTGGCAGAAGTTAACTGTGGTTCAGAAAACAGGAAAGAGGTTTCAAAAACAACACTTTGGTATAACAATCAAAATAAGATTGGCAATAAGAATATTCATTATAAGCACTGGTCCGCAGCTGGTATTGTTTTCAAATATGATCTTCTAGATGATATGGGTTGCTTTCTGTCACTGTCCGATTTTAGGGCCAAGTTTAATGTCCAGACCAACGTTATTGAATATGGTGCAGTTTTAAGATTAGTCAAAGCTTCCTATCGTGATTTGTTGACAAATAATGACAATATTCCCGTTCCCTTTGTTCCCTTCAACATGTGTGTCCTCCTTCCGACAAAAAGGGCTCTTGGAGACTTTGCGACTTTTTTGTCTCGGCAAAAAATGGGAAATGGGAAAGGCAACTTGAACTCCACTATGACTAGGATGTTTGGTTTCAGGTTTTTACTGTTCCTTTCACATGTACAATGGACTCCAAGCTTAGATGGTTTCAGAGTAGAATTATCCACAGAATCCTTGGTACTAACTCGTTTTTATGTAAAATTCATAAGTTGGATTCTAATGTCTGTACCTTCTGTAAAAGTGAAGAGGAAACCCTCATTCATTTTTTTTGAAACTGTAAAAATGTCAATTCTTTCTGGATCTCAATGGTAGATTGGATTAAGGACAAAACAAAAATACACCTTGTAATAGACAATTAACTTTATTGTTCGGTGTTGTTGACACCAGACTTAAATGCCTTAGTTTTATCCTTTTGTTTGCCAGATTTCACGGTTACTAAATGAAAATGAACAGCAAACGTCCCTCATTAGAAATTTTGAAAAAGGATATCCAGAGGCATTATTATCCCAATGGTGCTTGCCAAAATTTTGGTTGAAATAGCAACATTACTTTGCACCTGTCAAGTCTAATTGGAAACAATTGTAGTCTGGCACAAAAAGTATTATGATCTCTTGTAACTGTATTAATTGCTATTGAGTTTGTGTTGATAAGACAGAGATAAAAAGTTGTCTCTGGAAAAAAAAGTAATGGCCACGCCACAGACATGATAACACATAGACCACCAGTCTTGCACTCATAACCGTGATTTTAAAAGCGTGGCAAGCAGTGGGCGAAACGATGAATGGCAGCGCGTTCAGTGCGAATTGCGCGTGACGCAGTGAGATTTCATCGTTTGTTTACATGTGCTCTAGAAAGACGCTCCCTTTTTTACTCTTTTGTACTGCTATCTCTTCTTTTCCAATGTTGCATCCGCACTGTTTCGAGTCTGCATTGGCCAGAGGATTTTTTTCACAATTTGTAAATGGCTTCATTGCATTTTATGGCTGGAATTCTTCAACTGTGTGCAAATGCCCTACCGATGGGTGAATTTGCCCACACTTTGGGATTTAGTCGGGTGCCGTCTCAAATACGGTACCCTGCCGTTGTTTTGAATAGGAGCTACCTGTCTATGTGTTTAAGGGTGCACTGAACTAATTGAAGCCCCATTGAGGACAATGTAAAATTAACCACGTTTGCAGCCCCGATGCGGGCATCCGAAGTCCCTCAGGCCTATCAAACAAAAAAACAAAGTGTTGTGGGGTCATTCAGCTCTCTACTGATTTTCAATTTTTAGTAGGTTAACCGATGAAATTTTTAATTATCCACCAAAACAAACTCACCTTCCAAAAAGTGAACGTTGCCAAGTCTTTCTGCGGCCATTTTTCAGATGACATCCCTCCACCTTTTCAGGCTCTTAAGACAATTTTTCAGTGGCATTTTTCTATGCTTCGCTCTGGGATGGGAGCCCTTGAATCTAGGGAGTTCATTCTGGGCCATTCTTTTACAATCCCACAAATTCTTGGGCCACACAATCTCCTCTTTTTCAAATAAACTGTAGGGGTACTTATTGAGCGCCTCAGCCTGCCAAAGAATTTCCCTTGAATTGGGCGGTGCACCCTTATATGTCTGTTGCCCACGCTAGTATAGGATAGATCTCGCGCATGCCTAGTGCTGTTCTATAATGACCTTGGATTATTTTCGGCATGTACTGCTGGAATACCAAACAGTCGCAGACACGTTATGCGCATAGAGTGCCCGTAATTGGCACAAAGCCACTAGGTAATGATAAATCGCGTGGGCAGTCAGCATAAGTGATGACGTGTTCGTTGCGCGCAACGCGTTGGGCCTTTACCTCGCACATAATATGCATAATCCCTGCCTTCCATGCTTTAAATTTCCTTTCATGTCAAAGGCGATACTGATTTCTATGCACACGTAATGGGTGAAAAGAACGAACCAAAAATACTTTACGCATCTAACATTCTTTCAAGAAAATTAATAGTGCTAATGAAAATAAGGCATGTACACCTATGTCGCCTTATGTAAAATACCTCAAAGCACCTCTCAAATAATAGGATTACACAGAATAGAAGTTAAATGCCAAAAGGAAAAAAACCTTCATATGGAAGCTACAGGATAAATTACATGTATTGCTCTCTCGAAATATGTATAGGGCAACACAGAACAACAAGCCATTGGAAATTAAAAACAAACTCATTAGGCAAGTGATAGAGAACAATCAAGAAAGTGTAAGAAACAGAGTAGTATTTCGTTACAAAAACTAGTCAACCGGGTTTCAAATAACTATACCAGGACGAAATTTTGCTACTGGAATGATTTTTGGTTAAGCCTGGTGCTGTCTCCTCCACCAACTCCTGGTGCCATTTTCCATGGAGCTGGTTCTTCGCATGAGTACTCACTCACCGGTGTTCAAGGAAGACGCTGAGCCGAGCCTGGACCCTATACTCCCTACGCGCCCAAGCAAAGACGATCCATAGAATTTATTCTGCTCTTTTGATACATTTCAAAAGGGCTCACTTCATAAATCAAAATGAAAATTTTGGTCAGCCATGCCTAAATGCCTGCCTTCTCTTAAAACGGTTAGTTTGAATCAAGATTACTTAGTTTATTACGAACATAAAATGAACCCACTTCCCTTGCGATGTAAATGCTGTAAATATTACAGGGGATTTCTGTAAACCTTTTGTAGCATTACGCTGACCGATGATTGAACATAAAGATGCTCGGGAAGAACGTTAATGTCAACAATTGCTCTTTTGATTATTTGCAGACAAATTTGCGGACTGCGGGGACGGCACTCGCGTCCATAAACACAACTTCTGCGATGGCATGGCCGACTGCCCGCTCAATGAGGCCGACGAGTCCAACTGTCAGTGTAAAGCGAAGGCCGAATTCCAATGCAACAACTCCAAGTGCCTTCCACGGGCCAAGAAGTGCGATAGGCGCTGTGACTGTCTGGACTGTGAGGACGAGGATGGCTGCGGTAACGCCCATTTCTCTGCTGTATTGCTCTCAGACTGAGGACACGTGAATACATAGAAACTCCCCAAAAGATTAATTGCTTTTCACCTGCAATTTTGCAATCCATGTCTCTTCTATTAAAACAGTTGTTGGACATAATGTTTGTGTTGTTTGTCCTCAGGCATATATTTATGCTTTAGGTCCTCGGACGTGTCGATGTGGCCAGTGTGTGGTATCTTGTGGTTGTGAAAGAAACGTTACTTACTCCCTACAGTAACAGAAACATTATGACACACTTAAACATAACTGCTGCTACTTACCTTGCGCTCATGTTTGAAGACGTGCAGCTGGAAATTCTTGATGTCAAAAACTTGTGCAAGCTAACAATACATCCCACTAACCTGGGATTTTGTTAAGTGACAGAGCCCCGTCTGTTATCTCTAAGTAGCGCTCTTGTTCAATTCCCTCTTTATTAATGATTCCTTTCGTCATACTGCAATGGAATGACATCAAAACCCTTTTTTTCAACCCTTGGTCCTCAAAAGAAAATAAAGACAACTGCGACACGGACGATCACTTCTTCTGCCCAATGATCAAAGAGTGGGAACACATGCTGCCCGTGTGCCTCCGGAAAGAGTTCATCTGCGATGGTTACGGGGACTGTGACAAGACCGAGGCGGACGAATTGTGTTTTGGTGAGCCCCCCCCCACCCTTATGGCTTTGCTCACTGCATAAGAGCGCATGTAGTGGGGTGATTCACGTTCTGCATACGCAGCATTAGGTTAGGGAGGGTGTATGATTGTGCCTTCTATGGGGAGGGGGGTTAGTTGGATTTGACACTGTGAATTTTGCACCTCTTGAACCTTTGCCAATGGATAGCTGCTGAAAGCAACCGTATGTTCACCTGTAATCCCTCTGTAGTGCTTCTGAGGACTTGTTCATGCTCAAAGCCAGAAACTACAACTTATTTTAAAAGCCTGATCTGGACCATTCAAAATAATGTTATTTCTCTTTTACTGGTAACGCCATGGGTTAGTAAAAGTTTCTCCCCAGAAATTTGAAATTTTGTGTTCAATTGTAAATATGAAAAAAAACCCCGATTTTTTAAAAAATTGTACAATGGGTATACTGATCTGTAGGTTTAGGTATCCGATATGTGGATACGCGTAACACATTACGCCATAGCCCTATCCGGTTCGTCCCTAACACTTCCCAGCGGCTGTATACGCCAACGTTGAACCATACGTGTACTTCATATCCAGGCCCAATAAGTCCATATGCACACTGTGTATTAGCGGGGGTGGTTTCAGTTGCATTGACGTCAGACGGACGAACCGGATAGCCTTGATTTAAGCGAACATTGTATTTATATGAACTAGCATGAACTCCAATACGGGCGATTCACAAAAGCGCGTCCAAGAGTTTGCAACGCGTTGGCCAATCACAGTGCTGGAAATCTGTCGACCCATTCCAAACGCGCATTGGGTCGACAGATTTCACACATTGTTATTGGTAAACGCGTTGCAAATTCTTTGAGGTGCTCTAATGTGAAACGTCCATATTGGCTGAGCAACTCGCCAATACTGTAGCCAGGACTTCTTTACTTTTGTTTTGTGTTGTGTTTTTGTTTGTTTGTTTGTTTGTTGGGGTGTTTGTTTGTTTGTTTGTTTGTTGGGGTGTTGGGGTGGGTGTTTGTTTGTTTGTTTTTGTTGTGGTTTTTTTTTTCGTTTTTTCGTTTTTGTTTGAGGTTTGTTTGTTTGTTGTTTTCCACGGTGTTTGCATTCTTAGACGGAGAAGGTCCTCCCGACTGCAGTGCAAAAGGACTGATCGGTTGCGGTGCAGGGGATCCACGGTGCCTGCCGCCGTTCACGAAATGTGACAAGACATTGCACTGCCTGGGGGGCTTCGACGAAAAACAAAACTGCTGTGAGTAGATATAAATCAATACAGGACTTGGTTAAAAGATGGTCTGAAGGCCTCAGGCATACTATGATGTAGATCCTACTCCTCCTTGATACCAGCCCCGATTTAGCATATCATGTTGGTGCAAAGATGTACTTTTACTCGCACAACTTGAAACCAGACACTTGTTGGTGCCGTGCGTTTTAGAGCGACAAGTTTTTGTAAATTGTAGACCATTGGCTTACACTGTACTGATTGGCCGAGATTTTGTTTTGATGCTTTTACTGCAGCTATTAACTTAGTGTTTTGAAGGTTACTTTTAAAGAAATGATCGAGAACTAAATAGATTTTCTATAGTCGATGCAAAGACTGTGTAATTTGTCGTCCACAAAAACGTATGGACCACATACACGACGCTCCTGAACAATGTTGTGCGCGAACAACACACATGCAGGGTCAATCTTCGGAACAAACATTGACAGGCGCTCTTTCCCGGCATGATTCTGTGAATTTATGCAATCACAATTTTGGTCAGTAGGTTTCTGTTATAGTTTGTGAAAAAGTCGCAATCTTTTAAAAACAATTATGTTAAAAACATTGAAGTAGAATGGCGTTAATGTATCGTGAAGTTTACGCGGAAAAGGTTGGTGAACAAACATATACTCTCCCCCTCCAGTTTCAGCCAGGGCCTATATGGCAGTAGGATATTATTTGGGACTTCATAGGGCTCTTTATACTTGGGTAACTTGGTAGATTTTGAAGTATTCTAAATCTCATTAGATCTGTTGTTCAGCATAGAAACACCTTTATTTTTGACTTGTATACTAAAAAGGTCCGGTAAGAATTATGTATTCGAGTTGAAGGTGATTTATGCCAAGCGTTTCCCGTTGTTACACAGCGGCGCCCTCACCATGCCAACCCGGACAGTTCCGGTGCCGGAGAGGGGGCAGGTGCTTCAACGAAACCATACGATGTGACACTTACACCGACTGCTTTGATGGCTCGGACGAAGAAGACTGTGGTGAGATTTATGATTAAAAGCAAACAAACAAAATCAAAACCTTCAGTGGATTGAAACTACACGGTTTAGGCATTGCTCATTATCCACTTTCTTCTAGCTGGCGGGAACTAGACCTCACTGGCCGTTGTAGATCAGTCCAAGCATGAATTTAAACTGAGGGATTCTCCATCAATTGTGGATGCGATTATCAATGAGGACATGAGAAATTCATTATTTTTTGTCTTCGGAAGTCACTTTTGCTTAAGACCGTAGTTCTGTGTTGATACCTTTTGAGGGACATACATGTAGGCTGCAAAAATCAAGATGTTAAAGTTCTGACTAAGTTCTTGGAAGGATGTTATTTTTAGAACATAGTGAAGCATGCCAAGAAACGGTCAAGAGATCAAAATAAAAAACAATGGAGGTCCTCAGTATTAGTCTACGTAAGACAAGACACTCCGCTTATATAGGCCTTTCAGGAAGGATAGGCGCAAGGATGACCTGTAGCCAATTACTTAGGAAGTCAGGAGTAGGAGATTAGCTTGAAGTTTCCAATGTAGCCCCTTGTCCCAGCGAGGTTGTTATGGATAACTCGACAAACGTGACGAGGGCGGATCCACAATCAAGTTTCTTTTTTGAGGGGGGCACAAATCGGGAATAATTATATTTGAACTTGCATAAATGGCCTGTCTATTAAGGATGAGGCTAAAGCCGTAGGCGTTGAAGATGCATTTGGAATGAAAGGTAATTATGAAAAGCCCGAATTAGGGCGTGGCCCCATTCGATCTCAGTGGATCTGCTCCCGACAGTTCATGTTATTCCTGACCTGTTTTTTTATGTTTCCGTTTTCAACACAATTATTCAGAGTCGTTCGTGTGCCCAGCTGATACATGGAAATGCGCTGCCGGTCACTGCATACCGTACAGCTTCCTCTGTGACTTTCGCCTGGACTGCTATTATCACAAGAACGGCACTAAGGACATATCGGACGAAACCAGCTGCAGCACGTCCCATTACATTCGGCCTAGCTCCACCGAGAGAGGGCGCTCCGTGGGATTCGTCAAAGGTCAGCCCTGTTCGAAATTTTTGTCTCATAATGTATTAAGTTGAAGGTTCCATAGACAGCATGGGTAAAAAGTCCGGGTGGTTCTAGAGGAACACACATTTTTCAAGGGACACTGAAAGCAATCAGTGTTTTCGTTTCAAGATTTCAGATGCGGGATACACCCACGGACGTATATTAAAAAAAACTGGACTTGCAACGCCTTTGTATGAAATAGAAGCCAACCAGCGGCCATTTTACCGAGCCGAATACAAATGCGTGGGTTGGCTCGCTTCTATTGACACCAGGGAGAACAAAGGCGGGCATTGCCGGGTAAGCTTTGTATTCGGCTCGGAAAATGGCCGCGAGTGGTTTCAATGATCTCTATAAGCTGATTAAGGGCATTGCCAGTCCAGATTTTTTTTTATATACGTCCGTGGACACACCCCCAGCCCTGTTACGTAATTACCACCTGTACTTACCCCTGTACTTATGCCAAGTTCACAGAGTAGCCATGCTGGAAATTTGCAGCATTTACCTGCATATATGAAAAAATGTATGAGTTGAAATATATTGCGTCATGTGAACCAAAAAGTAGTTTAAAAAACTCAATCACCCCACGAAGGCATCTTGATGAGTTTGCATAAGTACGATATGCCTTTAGATCATGCATGCACCGCTCGAAATGTGCAGTTAGAATTCTGCACGCTCAAGGAATGTTCGAGCGACGACCATTTATTTGTCAAACCAATAGTCAATGTTCCCTGGTAACTTGTGCACAAAATATATCTCGGGTACCAAGTAAACTCGGTGACAAATGCTCCTCGCTCGAGCTTGCCGTTCCTAGGTCCTCGAGGGCATTGCTGCTAAGTAACATACCACTTTCTTTCTTTAAATGTTCTGAATTCGTTAAATTATCCTGGCGGGAGTTTCGTCTGTTTTTTTTTAGTTGGAGACAGGTCGTGCGAAGAGGATGAGTGGCAATGCCGAAGTGGCCAGTGCATTGAGGCCTGGCGGCGCTGTTTCGCCCACAGTGACGATGAATTCGGGGGCTGCGCGGACAAATCTCACCTCCGGAACTGCAGTGAGTGTAAACAAACCGTACCCGCTGTCATAAAAGGGAAACGAATCAACATAAAATGTCCGTCATACGCTGAAAATAAGAGCCCGTCATGCGTGCAGACAATATTTTTTATCATGTTAAGAAACCGTCTGCATCGTCATCCCTAAAAAGTAAAGTGCTTAATATGTGACAAGCAGACTGAATGGTCTTTACATTTTAGCGTGCCAAACTGTCTTGTGACAAAGACGAAGATAATGCCCTTAAAAATTAAGGGAAAATTGTTTAGTTGCACTGTTAAGAATATGTTGGTGTGGGAACACTATAATTGTTTCTTTTGTCTTCTCTTTGCAGGTGACTTCGTGTGTCCAGATGGTTCTTTTAAATGTGCCCGATCACATTGCATTGAATCGTCGCAGGTGTGCGACCGTAAAATTAACTGCATAGAATCCTGGGACGATGAAACTCAAGACTTGAACGATTGCAGTAAGACAGAAACCATACTTCATTGTATGCAACATTTCATGCATATTTAAATAAATGCGCCCGCGTTTGTTGAAATGAGCTTGGAAGGTTTGTTGTCTTTTGTGTGTGTTTGTTTCTTTTATGCTCAAAAAGAGCCTTCCATGTCACACACCTAATATCGTACATATTTTGGCCTCCTCCTACAGCGCAGGAGTGTTCCTCATCTGGATGTAACTGCTCACACTTTGACATGCATTGCTCTAATCTCGGTCTACACGGGTCAACATTTAATATCAATGCTCAAGATACGCGCTTAATCAAACATTTGTGAGTATCTTCTTTCTTGTCGGTCATTACCATTGGTCCAGTGAACGAAAAGGAAAGGGCGTTGATTTCGTTGGCTTGCATGCCCCTAAGCACACAATTTTTTTCTGTCGGACAATTTTGAAAAATGTGTACGTGAATGAGTGGAAGAACCATTTGTTTTCGTGTAAAATAGAATGGACGTTTCAAATTTCTGTTTCGTTTTAAATAATAATTATATTCCCATAAAGTCGCATTATGTTGTTAACAAGTGAGCGTATGATTGCCCCAGTGTGTAATGAAGTATATACAGACATTTCATTATTGCGTGAAATGGAAGACAACCCCTCAATCGTATTTATGATAATCAATCTATTTCGCTAATGTGCATGCGTGTTATGTAGCGTATGCCTTGTCAACCATTGGAACAAAAGTAACATAATGAAGAATGATTAACAGAAAGAGTAAATGTTTGAGTATTCATGACGATGAACTAAAGCAAGTGATGTGATCTATTGAAGCATACTAACTAGTGTAATATAAAGGGCAAAATGTAAGCACTTTTTAAGACAAAAATTCACAGAGCTCCTCAAGCTAGCAACATTTAAACAAAGCCTATTATATTCATCGTTTAATTTCTGTTGAATGTTTGATTGATTTTCCAATGACTTTGGGAGAATACTCGACTGGGCCAGCTGGAAGAATAATATCAAATGCAGAAATCAATCGAGGAAGAGTCGGCAGCAATATCAGTGTCATAAATCCACTTTACTCAGCTTCTTCCTTTTGCTTCTTGCCTTCTTATATAGCTATTTGGAAGGAAATAGTATGGGCTATCTTTTGGAAGACGGAAATGCTTTGAGTGGTTTGACAAGGATGATACTCCTGTAAGCCAATAAATTGTTTATGAAAGCTTTGTTTATTAAAAAATATGTTGTTTTTTAGTAGCTGTTCTGTTAGCTTTTGTTAATTATAAATTCCAATATTACTGGAATACGGGCGATTCACAATAGTGCACCTCTAAGGGTTTGCAACGCACTGGCCAATCACAACGCACGAAATCTGTCGACCCTTTCCGAACGCG